AGCCAACACCCATAGAAGCGACGAGACCGTTCGACAGCCCAACACCCCAGAAGCGGACGAGAACGTGGCAGCCAAAACACCCCTAGAAGCGGACGAGACCGTGACAGCCCAACACCCCTAGAAGCGGACGAGACCGTGACAGCCCAACACCCCTAGACGCGGACGAGACCGTGACAGCCCAACACCCCTAGAAGCGGACGAGACCGTGACAGCCCAACACCCCTAGAAGCGGACGAGACCGTGACAGCCCAACACCCTATAGAAGCGGACGAGACCGTGACAGCCCAACACCCCTAGAAGCGGACGAGACCCTGACAGGCCAACGCCCCTAGAAGCGGACGAGACCGTGACAGCCCAACACCCCTAGAAGCGGACGAGACCGTGACAGCCCAACACCCCTAGAAGCGGACGAGACCCTGACAGCCCAACGCCCCTAGAAGCGGACGAGACCGTGACAGCCCAACACCCCTAGAAGCGGACGAGACCGTGACAGCCCAACACCCCTAGAAGCGGACGAGACCGTGACAGCCCAACACCCCTAGAAGCGGACGAGACCGTGACAGCCCAACACCCCTAGAAGCGGACGAGACCGTGACAGCCCAACACCCCTAGAAGCGGACGAGACCGTGACAGCCCAACACCCCTAGAAGCGGACGAGACCGTGACAGCCCAACACCCCTAGAAGCGGACGAGACCGTGACAGCCCAACACCCCTAGAAGCGGACGAGACCGTGACAGCCCAACACCCCTAGAAGCGGACGAGACCGTGACAGCCCAACACCCCTAGAAGCGGACGAGACCGTGACAGCCCAACACCCCTAGAAGCGGACGAGACCGTGACAGCCCAACACCCCTAGAAGCGGACGAGACCGTGACAGCCCAACACCCCTAGAAGCGGACGAGACCGTGACAGCCCAACACCCCTAGAAGCGGACGAGACCGTGACAGCCCACCACCCCTAGAAGCGGACGAGACCGTGACAGCCCAACACCCCTAGAAGCGGACGAGACCGTGACAGCCCAACACCCCTAGAAGCGGACGAGACCGTGACAGCCCAACACCCCTAGAAGCGGACGAGACCGTGACAGCCCAACACCCCTAGAAGCGGACGAGACCGTGACAGCCCAACACCCTATAGAAGCGGACGAGACCGTGACAGCCCAACACCCCTAGAAGCGGACGAGACCCTGACAGGCCAACGCCCCTAGAAGCGGACGAGACCGTGACAGCCCAACACCCCTAGAAGCGGACGAGACCGTGACAGCCCAACACCCCTAGAAGCGGACGAGACCCTGACAGCCCAACGCCCCTAGAAGCGGACGAGACCGTGACAGCCCAACACCCCTAGAAGCGGACGAGACCGTGACAGCCCAACACCCCTAGAAGCGGACGAGACCGTGACAGCCCAACACCCCTAGAAGCGGACGAGACCGTGACAGCCCAACACCCCTAGAAGCGGACGAGACCGTGACAGCCCAACACCCCTAGAAGCGGACGAGACCGTGACAGCCCAACACCCCTAGAAGCGGACGAGACCGTGACAGCCCAACACCCCTAGAAGCGGACGAGACCGTGACAGCCCAACACCCCTAGAAGCGGACGAGACCGTGACAGCCCAACACCCCTAGAAGCGGACGAGACCGTGACAGCCCAACACCCCTAGAAGCGGACGAGACCGTGACAGCCCAACACCCCTAGAAGCGGACGAGACCGTGACAGCCCAACACCCCTAGAAGCGGACGAGACCGTGACAGCCCAACACCCCTAGAAGCGGACGAGACTCGAGACCATGACAGCCCAAAACCCCTAGAAGCGGACGAGACCGTGACAGCGGACGAGCACAAGTGTGCTCCTGCCCCCCCTCGTCACAGACTCTCTCCCCAAACTCTCTCTCGCCTCACGCACTCGGCCCGCACGGGGCTGCGGCGCAGTGCCTGAAGAAAGGATCCGAAGTACAAGAGCAGGATGAAAAACAAGAAACTCTTGGACACGCCTTAGAGAGGGGCTGCATGTCTTCCTTCCTGTGGAAATTTTGTGCTTCTTGGCAGAAAGCTTCTGCGCCTCGAGCTCGGCGGCTGTCAGAGACTCGGTCAAGCGCCGGTGGCCGCAGATCCGCGTCTTCGCCCCGTGCTGAGCATGGGACATACGAGAGGAACACGAGCGGAACACAAAGACAAAGAACGTGCTATTGCTTCTTTGCAAACTTCCAGCCGTAATTTAAGACTCCATCAAGCTGATTTGCTTTTTGCGCTACCTCCCGGCTTTTCCCCGCCTTCGGGTCGCCGCGGGCGGCCAGCAGGATGAAGCCGTCCGGCTCACTGAGGGCCCCCGAGACACACCTCGGCAAACACAAAAAAAAAAACAAATCTTTACAAGATCTTGACTGCACCTCTTTTTGGACGTCTTTTGCGAGCTGAGGGGAGCGGTGAAGCTCGGGATGTGTCTCAGGAGGGGTGTGCGCTTTGATGTGCTTGGTGCTGTCCAGAGCTGAGCACCGCTGCTTGGGGACGTCCCGGTGGAATCCCAGGTCGATGTGCGGCTGATTGATGCCGCCCAGTCCTGAGAAAAGAGGAGGGGGCTTCTCACCAAGAAAATTTCCTATACTTGCTCGCATGCGACGCTGCATCGCAGGCGCGCCATCCATTCGAGGATGCTTCAACCCTTCCTTGCCCCTGAACACCGGAAAAAACCGAGAGAAGCTCCCAGTCTCCTGGCTTTGGTGCGAGGTCCCGGATGAGGCCTCCACGGGCATTCTCTGTGTAGAACCTCGAGACCCCAACCAGCCCAGCCAGGTAGAAAAACGAGAAAGCTTATGTAGAAAAGTGAATCCTTTATTGATTCATATTTCCCTTTTTATATTTATTTCTGTATATTTTCTGATTGCTATTTATGTTAGATGTGTTAAAAAATTGTTGTGACTCTGCAAATTTTGGGGTTCCGGCCCCAGGAGGCCATAGGGCAGTCCGAGGCAGCGCGCCAGTCCCAGCAGCCAGGCCTCTGCGAAGGGCAATGCACAGGGCATGGTGCTGATGAGCTCGGTCTGTTGCGGCCGCATCTGGCCGCGGGCATACGCCCAAAGGAGCTTCCGAGTCAGCGCCTCGGCGACGGGCAGGCGGAAGTCGCCGGGCAGCGCCGGGGTGGGTGGGATCTCCGTGTCCAGCGGGAGGCCCGAGAGGAGCAGCGCCGGCGGCGCCGCCGGGTCCGCGAAGAGGCGCTGCACGGAGCGGAGCACCTCTGCGACGCTGTGCCAACGCGCCGCACGCCCCAAACTCCCTAAACCTCCCCGTGGAACCGTCTACGAGCTATTCAGCAGGCCCCCAACGTGTAAGGCACACTCACAGAGGTCCCACCTCTTCCGGCAGCCACTTCACGACCAGCTTGAAGGAGCGTGTGACGGCTCTCCTGACGTCCAATCGGATGTGCTTGCATGCAAGGAGGTGCCTGCCCATCATCCCAGAAACTCAGGGCAGGGCTCCGTTTGCACAGGGTCTTTGACTGCGTTCCACAAAAAATCCTGCAGCGAACATCGATGGACTCAGCGAATACAACTCACTGACCTAGGCAGCCTCTTCCGTCGTGCAGGCGTCAAAGAAATCTTCCCGGAAGCCCTCCAATCCCTCCAGCCTGCAAAGCGCGCAGAGAGGTCAGAAGACTGGAAAAGAAAACGTACGCATTTTCGCATTTTCGCTTTACGAGCCTGATTCGAGCGACGTTCTGGGAGGCAAGCTTTGTGACCTTTCAGGTGGCTCCTGACCACTACTACGACCGCTCCACAGCTGACTTGCTCGATGCGCCTTCCTGCACACCTTTTGAAATCGGCGTGTTGAGAGCGTCGCCCTTGGCAAGAGGCTCTCCAAAGAGAATCCTCTTGACATTGCACGTTCTGCACAGCACATACAAAACAAATTGGTCTCTTTTGAGGCGAGCAGCCAAAGCAGCCAGGCGCCCCCGGCAGGTGCCAAGGCAGCTCTAAGCGCACCGCTCGCGGCACGTGTGTTCGGACACGGAGGCCGACGATGAGCGCGCGGGACCCAGCGCTCTCTGCAAGCGGCAATACGAGGCGCATTCCCGCGGCCGAGCGGTGCCACACCCCATGCCCACACCGGCCGTGCTCCAGCTTCCATGCACGATTACTCTGAGATTTCTCAAGGAAGATCATCGCTTGTGCTGGGGGCAGCATCCAACTAGAGACGAGTGGCTATGCTGTGGAGGCGATAACTCTGGCGATGGCTGCAGGTGTTTCTGGTAATCGTAATCATCAGGTGCATCATCATGACTCTGACATGCGTTGAGAACTTGCTGAAAGCCCATTTTGCGAGACTGGTGACTCAAACTCTCTACAGTGGTACGCAGCACAATTCCTCGAGCGGCGCTCTCTTCCGGCACTCTGCGCCTGCGCCTCGAACTCTGAGACCAGGCTCTGCTGGGCTTTCACAAGCGAAGCCTCTTAACTCCAAAGGTCCGCTGACCCAAACCCCGACCCACTGGACCGCATGGCCTCGACGCCCTGCGACATGGCATACTCACAGGCACGTCGGAAGAGGTATTCGGTGTGGTACCTCATTCGGAGCAAGAAGCAAAGAAGCAAAGAAGCAAAGATGCAAACAAAGAAGCAAATAGCAATTGAAAGCAAAGAATTTGCAAGTTGCAAAATTGAGCAGGAGTGTCGAACAAGGTGTTGCTGATTAGCCCATCGAAGTGTCGAAAGCGGAAATGAACGGAAATCGGAACGCGCGCAGGGCACCACATGCCCCTGATCGTGGCATCCGTCGTGTCATTCAGTCGCTCAAAGTCAGGCATGCGGGGATCCTCCGTCGCAAGAAAATTTCTGTGGAAATCGTGGGGGGGGGGGGGGGCCCTATGCGAGGATGAATGCAGCAAGGGGGGAGCCTCCTGCTCTGAAGCGACGGCCTCCACCACGGCTGCGTAGGCTTTGTTGGCCAGCAGCATCTGCTGCCGGATTAGCCCGTACCTGCTCCAGAGGAAGCCCCCTTTTGACAAACTTTCAAAAACCACAAGAAGGGCGTGGCCACATGTGGCCTCTGGATGCGCTGGATGGCATCGGAGTAGAGGCGCTCAAAGACGCCCTTCAACACCGGGGGATTCCGCGTCAGCCCTGCTTCCATGATGTCCTTCGCTGCGGAGCTACGACACTGAGAACTTGGGGAACGTTGGATTTTGGCTTTCGCTGCCATCACCGTTCCCCCTAGGCTTCTCCGTTGTCGAACATGATCAGAGTCTATCTCACCCGATCCATCCTTCAGGCCAACTTTCTCCATGATGTTGTCAACCGTGCCAGCTACACCGGGGCCAGCATCCAAGGAAACGACCTGGAAGGGACGGAAAAAGAGACAAACTTCCGATATCCAAGCTGCTGCGCCGATGCGCCGGTGGTCAGCAAGTACGTATGGAAAACCAGGGTTTAACGATAGGGGCGGATGCCGTATGTGAACATGCCGGAAGAAACGTCGTTGCGATACACCACTTATATACACCTTGATGCAGCGCTGGACCTTGATGTTCTCCATGCGCTTCCGCAGCTCGTCGATTGTGAGGAGCAGCTTCGAAATCTCCTCCTGCGCAACAGGGGCACAGGGCAGGCCCATGTGGGCTCCCCCCCTCAAAGAGTCTCTGCCGTCGTTTGCCTGCTGCTTCTGCGTGATCCGCTTCAGCTCCTGGACCTCCTTGGGATCTCCTCCGACGCGCTGCAGATGCTAAAAGATCTGTGCACTGGGGCATGCTCTTCTGTTGCGCAGATTCCCCTCTGCAGAGGGCCTTTGTACACCACCTCTTTCGGTGCCTCCTGCACCGCGGCCTCGTCATCCTCCCAGAAGGATATATGCTTGTCGCTCCCAAACTCTCTCTCTTTTACACCTCTCCTTCTTTCGTGCTCTTCCCTTGTTCTTGGTGCGATCCTAAACACTCTAAGGACAAAACCCCAGGGAGAGAGACCCCCTCTGATTCCCCCTCTACCCCTCCCCCCCTTCCCCCCCTTCCCCCCCTTTCCTTCTTTCTCCCTCTGTTTTGGCCTTGGCCGGCGGCTCCGCGGGCGGCGCCGGGGCGCCGTCTTTGGCGAAGCCCTTAGCGTACTTGGCCAGGGCCTCGCTGACCCAGACCTGGCCGGAAGGCGTTTCTTTGCACGTCAAGACAAACAAAGCCAGAGAGAGAGAGAGAGAGAGAGCACTCTTGGAAAGAAGTCGAGGGTCAAGAGAGGGACCTCGAACTTGGGCGAGGCTTCTTTCATGGCTTTGAGCACCTCTCAACCAGAGACATGGGGGGGGCGCTCATGTGGCTCATGTGGCTCATTGGACTGCTGAAGTTCATATGGGGGCGTGGCCTCTGCCGGTGTCGGCTCTGATGTGGCGAAGGCCTCCCACAAGATAGCCCCTTTGCAAAACACACAGCGGCAGATCTGAAAAGGGGTGGCTGTAACTCTCCAAACGTGGCGGCCAGGCCTGCATGAACTTCAGCTCAGCTTGGGGAACCTGGGACGGCACCCGGGTCTTCGGCGCTCAGCGCGTGCTCAGCCCGGACCTTGTGGCCGGTGATCGAAGCCAGCTTCGTGAAACCACGCAGGGCGACTTCCATCGTCTGCCTGCGATGTCCAGTGTAAGCTTCTGCAGTGCCACAAGTAACCACTTCCCGCAGCTGCGCTGAAGGGAGGGCGCCTGGTGGCTTGCAGCCACTGGGCCACCTGGTTCTGCAGCTCCGTCACCAGCGCCTCCGCCCGGCGCTGAGCCGCCAAGGCCTCCTCAAGGGCGCCGGCCTCAGAACCGCTGCAAAAACAGTGCGCTCAGAGCTACAAGGAGCTTCTCCCCATACAGGGCTCTGTATGTGGGAGTGAATATAGCACGTGGCAAGTGGCAAGTGGGGACTTCCCCGGGCATTGTGCAACAACAATACGACAATACCGTCCGCTTCTAAACTCCGACAGGTCACTAAAGCGGCTCAGTGTGCAGTCAGTTCTGAGTCGCATCTCCATTCTCAGAAAGGCCAATCGCGCAGCCCTCCCATCTCCCCCCCTTTGTCCATCTCTTGCCAGCACGTCTCCCTATCTTCGAATTACGGAAAACGGATGACTCCTCCGGGAGCGCCTTCTAAGCGCAGCCCAGAGGACTGTCTGCGCTCTGTGCAACTCTACGGCTCAGGTGGCCGCAATTTCGAGATTCGAGGCACGAGCTTCTTGCGGCTTGCGAGCACGAGAACGGAGAGGAGGAACGGCCGAGCCGGGCCGAGAGCCCGGTCTTCAGGCACGTAACAACGACAGGTCGACTTAAAATCCACTTCGCTTCTCCTCACTTCTTCACTTCTTCTCACTTTTTCTGATATCAAACTGGCTTCCAAGGTCGCCTCAGCCTCTCACGCCCCAACTTCGTCCTGCGCAGGGCTCTGCAGTCGGATTGACAAAAGCATGCGAAAACATCTTGGAGCCCTGCCCTGGGTAGAGTGCCGCATCAAGGGAGGAAGGGAGGGAAGGGAGGGAAGGGAGGGAAGGGAGGGAAGGGAGGGAAGGGAGGGAAAGGGAGGGAAGGGAGGGAAGGGAGGGAAGGGAGGGAAGGGAGGGAAGGGAGGGAAGGGAGGGAAGGGAGGGAGGGGGGAAGGAGGGAAAGGGAGGGAGGGAAGGAGGGAAGGGAGGGGGGGAGGGAAGGAGGGCAAGGGCGGGAGGGAGGGAGAGGAAGGGGGGAGGGAGGGAAGGGCGGGAAGGGAGGGAAGGGAGGGAAAGGGAGGGAGGGAAGGGAAGGGGGAGGGAGGGAAGGGAGGGAGGGAAGGGGGAAGGGAAGGGAGGGGAAGGGAAGGGGAGAGGGAAGGGAGGGGGGAAGGGAGGGGGAAGGGAGGGGGACGGGAGGGAAGGGAGGGGGAAAGGGAGGGAAAGGGAGGGACGGGAGGGAAGGGAGAGGAAGGGCGAGGGAGAGGGAAGGAGAGGGCAGGGAGAAGGGAAGGGAGAGGGAAGGGAGAGGGAAGGGAGGGGGAAGGGAGCGGGAAGGGAGGGAAGGGAGGGGAAGGGAGGGAAGGAGGGAGGGAAGGGAGGAAGGGCGGGAAGGGAGGGAAGGGAGGGAAGGGAGGGAAGGGAGGGGAGGGAAGGGAGGGAAGGGAGGGAAGGGAGGGAAGGGAGGGAAGGGAGGGAAGGGAGGGAAGGGAGGGAAGGGAGGGAAGGGAGGGAGGGAGGAAGCGCGACAGACGGCACCACAGCAGTAAACTCCCCATACGCGGAGAGCGGCGGGCAGAGGAGCCAACCAAGAGGCATTAACGAAAGCGGTGGAGCGAAAGACCACAGCCAGGCATACTTCGACGAAGGCACGAGATGGAGCCGCAGCCACCAGGTCGAAGGGCCAGGGAAGTTTCGAAACACTCGCATGGCAGCAGGGGTCCAACAGCGGGATGAGAGCGAGAAAGACAAACGAAGGCGAACCAAAGGCTGCGGACATGGGCACTGCGAGGCGTGAACTGAGGCTGGCAGGTCGCCCAGGACTGCAGGCTTTCCTGGCGGAATTTCTCACCCCCGCTGGGATACTTAACATCCGCGGGTAGGGGGCTTCCAAGCGGGCAACTAAGCAACCTCATTCGCTCGAAGGCACTATGCGAGAGGGCGGCCCGACGCACGCGGGCACGCCCCGTAGAATCAACCTCCCCCGACTGCGGTCAGGGTGGGCACAAGCTTGCTGGGAGACGAACAGAAGTGTGCCAGGTGCGGGGTGTGGAGCCGAGACGGCTAGTCTGGGCCAGAAGTGGGCGGGCGGGGGGGGAAATAGGAGAACAAACAGAAAGGGGGAAGGACTGAGGCTAGCCAGCAAAGCGAGCTGCGCTAGTCGCAGCGAAAAGGCTCAGTCCAAAGGAAAGGGCGAAGTGGCTGACTCGGACTCGGACTCTCTGGGCATTCGCCCCTTCCTCTGGGCTGGACTGCGCCTTTTCGCTGCGAACCCCTGTGCTGCAAGGCAATGAGGCCAGGCTTTTCCGTCGCCTGTCTCAAGCGAGGCGCTGCTGTTCACCTCGGTCTCTCTGGGCATTCGCCCCCCTTCCTTTGGACTGAGCCTTGTCGCTGCGCCTGGAGCTCGCTTTGCTGGCAACCCGAGACAGGCAACGGAAAATCCTGGAGGTGGCCCAAACAGGGCACAGGAAGACGCTGGAGAACACTGGGCAGAAACGGCGCATGGTGGACAGGGCCAGGTGCACAAGGCCCGGAGGAGTAGCTGCAGTCCGAGGTGTACCGCGGCACCTTCTGCTTGAAGCTTGAAGGCCCGAAAAAGAAAGAAAGATATAACACAAAAAACCAACAAAGAGAGAAAAAAGAAACGGACACGAAGCAGTGGCCCAGGACAAGTTGAAGAAGTGGAGACTGAGGCCGGCCAGCAAAACAGGCGCAGCAGGAAAGGCTCGGTCTGAGGCGTGAGAGGGATGACCTGCGGAGTGACCGAAAGAAACGCACACACACACACACACACACACACCAGCACTCACAAGGGGGAGGGATGTGGAAGAGACCCGAAAGGAGTGCCACCCCGACCGTCCAGGTGCACACTCGCGATGCCCCGTCCTGAACCACCTCAGAGGCCTCCACCATGGCGTGGCAGAGCCTCACACGACAAGGAGATGGGAGAGCCTGGCCCCAGCCTTCTCTTGCAGTTCACTCTGATTCTAATTACTCGAAATATTACTCTACTATTACGCTAATATTACTCTAATTAGAGTAAATTACTCTAGTTTCTCTCATCTTAAAGTGTACCAAGTTGCTGCACGACAAATGGCTGGGGCATCGGCCGCAGCGCCAGCGGCACGACGTGCGGCTCGTGGAGCATCGCGAAGTGGTCCCCGGAAGCCGGGACTGCGGCCTCCGCTCGCCCAAGAAAAGGCAAAGAACTCCCACATGTCTGTAGTATATAGAGTTCCTGGTGTGCTAGGCTAGTTCTCTACCCTCCCCCACATTTTTCCCCTCTGCAAGACATCCTTCCTTCAGAATGATAGTCTCACCCTTGAAATCGCATCTCTAAATCTCCCGCTCTCCTCACCTCTCCTTTTGGCGGAGCCTCCGCCGCTGCCACCCCGCTCGCCCCCATCAGTCGCAGGTGGTCAGCCACGGAGGCATCTTCCTGGAAGACCGCCGCCTTCGAAAAAAGCAGTATCGACTCGCCGTGACTCGCTGCGGCTCACGTGTCATGGCAATCCCCCTGTATTACAGCCCTGTATCCTATCCCGCTTCCAAACTCAAACCTTCGAAATTTTGCCAGAGCCTGCACACGGCTCACGATCTTCTTCGCTGGTGTGTCTGTGTCTGCCTCAGACTCCAAACTCAGCTCGAGCTGGGCATCGCACCGGGCGCCAAAGGAGCTGACGGCGTCGCGCCAGGCTTCCGCGGCCCGCACCCACAGCAGCCTGGCGCAGAACTGCCAAAGAAAAAAAGGGCAGCCAAAAGGGAAGCCAAAAGGGAAGCGAAAAGGGAAGCCAAGCAGGCAAGGGGGATGAGAAGTCTGAGAAGGGATGAAGTGATGAAGCGCTGAAGTGCTTCGTGGGCCGCTGGGGGCAAAAGCGGGCAATTCAAGCAAGTGCCGTCGCCTGGCTTGCAGAGGCGTGTCGTCCGGCCCTGGGGCATTTGCGAGAGCAGCGCATGGTCACACAGAGTTTACAGAAAGGGAGAGAGAGAGAGAGAGAGAGAGAGAGAGAGAGAGAGAGAGAGGGAGAGAGAGAGAGAGCGAGAGACACTGAGCTTAATTGATCACACACGCACACCGCATCCCCGGCTGTACCAAACCTCAGTGGATTGGGAAGTCTGGGGCGATGGCGGGCATTGGTCAGGAGCCCAGCGTACCACCGAAAAGTTTCATGGACGTGCTCCAGCGCAGAGGCTGCGGGGCCTGCCGCTGCTCCGGGAAACATGTTGTGAGTGCTCTGTACAGAAGGGGCAGACATGTGCGGGCACTCTCCGTGAGCGGGCCTAGGAGCTGGCGCAAAGCTTCCGGATCGTCGGAAGTTGAGGCCAAAGCTTCCTCTCAGAAATTGTGACATCTTCTAAGACCCAGCCCCAAAAAAAAGACCCCACCCCTTCGAGGAGAGCATGAACCTGGCGTGCGAGATGGTCCTCGACAACCGCGGCGTAGCGCGCCCCGTCCGCAACGCTTTGAGACAGCATCGCCAGGGTGTCCAGCAGGCCGCTCTCAAAGACATCGCCTCTTAAGTCCACAATCACAGCGTGGCCCCAGAATTTGGAGACTCAGACGGCTCCCAAATCCCCTGCTTCGTTTCTTGTGCGCCTGCATCACCCTCCAAAGGGAGCAGCGTCCTGGGGTCCAGAAGCGCCACCAACGCCACGGCTTGGCCCGATGCCTCCGAAAGGATTTTCTTCTAAATACTGACCTGCTGAAACCAACACGAGCTACGGAGCTTTACGAGCTACAGGAGACGACCAGATCCACACCGAGTCCACATCTCATGGCGAGGGGCGCTCAGAAATTAGGGGTTTTTGCCGAACAGTTTGTCTTGTTGTTAAGAATAAGCTTTCGCGGCCGGTTGGTTCCCGGTCAGTGACCCTGCAGCGTCAGGAGCTTCGAGATTTTCTTTGCTTTTATTTTATTTTATATTGGAGCTTTCTTCCACATTGGTCGCTCTGAAGAAAGAGTTCAGAGGCTTGCTGGCCTGAAGCTTGGAGATTGAAGTGCTTGAGGTGCTTGTTTGGGGTGTCACGCACCAGGCCTCGGCCTGCCTGGCCATCTCCAGGCAAACGGTGGCTCCAAAGGAATGCCCGGCCAGCAGCAGCGGCTTCGTCGGCTCCACGGCCCGGACCTCGCGACTCAAACAAGACAGGCGCCCCCCCCCCCCCACACTGAAGCTCTGACTTCTTTTTGCAAAGAGCATTGCGAGGATGCCGGATCTTGGGCCGCGCCTCTGCCAGCAGCAACTGCGCCAGGGCCTCCAACGAATCTGGCCACCTTCCAGCTGACACATTCACTTTGCCCCTTGACTTGGGCTTGTTGATGCCATCCTTGTATATCGTGTGAGCTGGGTGGCACTGGGCACGTGCGATTGCCACGCCCAGCCTTTATCCTTTTTCCACGCGACCTTCGGCAAGTTTTCGCCGGCGAAGTGTCTGTGAGGTTGCCGCAGCCCGGGCTCTTGCCCGGCTCCCAACAAAAACTTCTCTGAGCAGCAACAATATTCATAACAATATATTGCGAATATATGAATATGATTGATAAAACTAAAGGTCTCAGAGCAGGTTCAAGGGTGGTAGGGCGTGTCAGCTGGCAAGCAAGGGTCGAAGTTGGGAGGCTTGCCCGCGCGGAGTGACCGGGCAAAGAGGAGTAGGACGGACACCGTGCCCCAGAGCAGGCCGACGATGACGCCGGCCTCAAGAAGAATCTGGCAGAATCTCAGAATCCGTACGAACCCTGCAAAGCATCTACAGTGCATCTATATAGTGAATCTATAGAGAAAACGTAGAGAATCTTTAGAGAATCCGTGGAGAATCTATCGGGCTTAAGCTCCAGGCATCCAGGATGGCACGGTAGGGGTTGGGCAGCTTGCGCACAAAGACGACCACGAAGAAGATGGTGGTGGTAACACACCAGCTGGAGATCACGCGCTTTCGCGTGCCATGAAAATAGCCAATGCAGAATGCTGGGGCGAAAAGCTTGTGTAACAGCGTGGCTGTGGCTCTTGGAGCTTCAGGCACGTCTTTCCCCATGAGACGGGCCACGTTCCGCTTCAGCAGGTCCCTTGCAAGGAATGCTCAGGTTCAAGACTCTGTTTCGCCCAATAGAGCTTTGGAGACTGAGGTGCCTGGCCTACACACGTGCTGTATCAGCTCAGAGCTGCTCACGGCCAAGTGCAAACGGAAATGCCTCCTACTTCCCTCACTCTTCCCTCATGCTTTCGTCTCCGGGAGTCCTTGTTGAGACCTCTGGGAACTTCTCCGACACGGCCCAGGCGCGGCTGACGACTCGCGGGCAGAAGCCCTGCTGAAAGCCCCGGTAGCCCTCCACGAAGCCAAAGAACCCCAGCCTCGGCTTCCGTCAGACTGAGTCTTTTTTTGCTTTTGCCTCACGAACGAGTATACCATTCTGTACCTTGTGCGCGCGTCTTTGTGCTCGTGCAAGTTCATGCATCTATTTCTATTTCTATTTGTATGTTCATCATATCTATATGTGACACCTACAATAAAAGAAAGGCTCTCATTAGCAGGCTGAGAGTCGTGGCCACCAGCAGGAGCCACTGCCACGGTGCAGTGATGCTGGCGAGGCCCTGGTGCACGATGGGCACCACCTTCTTCACGCCGTAGGACAGGTACGCGGCGACACCGAGGACGGACCAGACTTGAACGGCCCGGGACCGCTCGGGAGTGGCCAGTGCCACGTCCACAGACGCACCGCTCTCCGTGCCCTCGGCCTCGGCGAGCACGGAGACCTCCAGGTCACGGCGGCCTGCAAAACCCGTGGGGCCCGTGGGATGAGAAGCCATGCCCTCCTTACGGAGGGATTGGGCCGTGAAGGCCTTGCCGCTGACAGCGAGGGCCACACACGTGCTGCAGAGAAGCCATGGCCGTCTCCTCAGCACCTTTTGCCAGCGGGGGCTGCCCATGCTGGGCACCAAAAGCTTTGAGGTTAAATGGACTCCACGGCATCTCATAAGGTCACAGGGGTCCACAAGAAGTCGTGACACACATGCTGCGAGAGAGGGCACATGAGGGCACATGGCGTCACCCGGAGCGCACGCTGTCCCCTGTCTCACCACGTCCCCGCCTCTCCCTCGGGAGGTTTTGGGGCCAGGAGACGCTCCAGGTTGGCACCGGCAGAAGGGATGCCAAGGCTTGGAAGCCGGCGGCCTCGATCAACGCGCGCTTCGATCTGAGGGCAGGTTTGACATCATGGCGACTGAACGGCCTGCAGGCCAGCGCCGGGCACCAGGAAGAGAGGCCGGCCAGTCGTCCTGGCGCTGCGGCAGGCTACAACAAGTCACCTCCCCACACAGTCCCACACTTCCCCGCACTGCACAAACACACTGATCTGGAATCCTGGTGTTCAGCAGCTCCAGAATTTTGGACTGCCCGGCCGGCGCCTGTTGTGGTGCCTGCGCTGCAGGCGGCCGTACCACGGGAGAACAGGCACGCAAGACAAACACTTGGCATACTGTTATATCGGCTATACTTCATAAGAAGCGTGTCTTGCATGTGTTCCGACAGCATGAACAAAGGAGCACGCAGAACGCGAAGGGCACCTCGGACACTTGCCTCGCCCCCAACTGGCCCGCAATGAAGCCCGCGAGCGCGTTGGCCTCTCAGGTGAAACCCGGACTTTTTGCGCAAGAAAACAAAGCGCTTCAAGGGCCAGTGGATCCCACGGCGACTCAGAGACCCTTCAAAGCAGTGTTGGCACTGCTCCCGGGGCCGTCGGGAAGTCAAAGACCGCGGAATTTGGCAGCCGAACACCACCCAGCCTGCAAGGTTCGCAAGGCGCCCCAGGTAACCCCATCGCGCAACTACCCAACCGCATGCAAACACGTGCATTGTGCATGTCTCCGTATGCTGTGGGTTGTCGGGGAAGTCCGAGGCTTCCACTCTTGCTGAAGCCTATTTCTGAATTCCACACCAGACAAGGAGTCCATGCCAGACCTTCGCAAAAGTCTGGACTCTCTCTTCTGCTTCGGCGCCGGCATGCGCTCAGAAATCTCAGAGAAAGGGGTTAACTCAAATGTTCTCGACATGTTCTCAAAGGTCTGAGCCCGGAGCTCCAGCAGTTCCACGTCCCCCGGTAGGTCTTCGCCCACGACGTCGCTGGCCAACTTCCGCACCAACAGCTCCAACCGCTCCTGGCGCTCGGCAGCGCCCAGTGCCGCCAGCTCCACCGCCAGCCCTGCACTCTCAAAGACAGCAAGAGTAAATACAAAACACCTCGCACTCCACCCTTGCCCTTCTCCCTTTTTTTTGTGGGGAGAGGGGGGGGGTGGGGAAGGAGCGGGAGGGGTGGGTCCCTGTGTTGATACAAGCTGCTTGAAAGGATGTTGCGTACACGCTTTCATCGCACCCTTGATGCTGTAAACGTTGTTGATGTTGTTGTGGGCCCTTTCGGAACCAGACGTTCGCACTGTCGTGAACATCAGCCGATCCGCCTGGTTTGCCTTGACAACATTTATCGGAATGAAAGGGCCGCGAGCCGGATGCGAACACTATCTTTACTGCCTACTAGATTGTCTGGACAGCATCCTCGAGACGATTGTCTGCTGGTTCAGACCACCTGTCTTAAATGTTGAAGACGTCAACTCAACACCTAACATGATCCTCGAGACAGCTGCCTCAAGGTCGGCAAAGCCATGTCATGACGTGATGACGGAGCATCAATTGGCACAAGTTGGCATAGCTTGGCACGTTTCGAAGGTTTCGAAGGGCATCTCTCGGCACCGGCGCCTGCATCGGCGGATCCCGTCTCCATGGATTTGGCTGCCTCGGCGGCCATGTCCAGCAGGGAGGCCGGCGGCTCAGCCTCGAGGCAAGAGCCAAGCGCAGGGGTGGGGCGGGGGGCTGGGGGGGGATGATCAAAATGGCCCTCGGAGCCCGTTCTGGGCACTGCGTTTTGGGCTCCGGGCATTGAACACGGTGCGCAGGAACTTGGGCCAGCGGACGTGGGCTGCGCCCACCAGCGAGTGCCGTGGCCCCTTAGCCCATGTGCAGAGTGTGCAAACACCTTAGGCAGCCCGAGCATCGGGAGTTCTGTTGGGTTTCGATGGGTTTCCGGCGCTTTGGTGCAGGACGCTGCCCAGGATTGCCAAACCTGGGAGAAGGCAGAGAGAGAGAGAGAGAGGGAGAGAGAGAGAGTGTCTACAAACAAAAACGAGGGGCGATGTGATGCGCGCTGTTCAGACGCAAAGGGGCCTTGTGGGTTGCTGAGGGCGCCGATGCCGCTGGCCTTGGCCCTCTGCACGGTGCCCTTCTGCACCGCCATACCTACCTCGGCCTCACAGGGATGGTGACTCCAGCGGAAGTCTCGAAGTCTCAAAAACTTCCTCGGGGCCATGCCCATGGCCCCCACTGCACCGACACTGCACCTGTGCGGAGCAGCGAATTGGCAGCTTGAGTCTTCTTCACATGTAAGCCACTTTAAGCTACAAGTGCATAGGGGAGGTGGTGTACTTGCCAACGTGACAGGCATCACTGGCTTCTGGCTTGTCATGCTTGCCGCTCAGCTGGGATTGATTGTACGAGCAATACTAATAGTCGTAGTCGTAGTAGTCGTAGTAGTCGTAGTAGTCGTAGTCGTAGTCGTAGTCCTAGTCCTAGTCCTAGTCCTAGTCCTAGTCGTAGTCGTAGTCGTCGTAGTCGTAGTCGTAGTAGTAGTAGTAGTAGTAGTAGTAGTAGTAGTAGGAGGAGTAGTACGCGCAGTGGTGGTATGACGGTGTGTTTATGTGCATCACTATGGTCGAAATCGCTGGCAGGCGTGTCACTTCAGCAACATGCACATGCTTTCTGGGGGGGGGGAGGAGGGGGGGCATCAAACTTTGCATGTTGTCGAAAACACTGCCACGCGTGTCAATTCAGCAACATGGACATGCTTTCCTGAGGGGGGGGGGGGGTTCGAATGTTGCATGTTGTCGCAAACCCTGGCATGTGTGTGTCATTTCAGCAACATGTAGCTTTGGATGTCACGGTTCGACATGGACGTTGCCCGGCCATGGATACTGGGACCAATAAATGCTGGGATGCAGTGAATGTGCTGGTATCATGTAAGCCAAGTCATGTGAAAGAAGATGCATTGGAAAATCCTGGCATCTCCAACACAAGAGAGAATTGACCCCACCCCGCCCCGAAAGTGCCCAAAGCAGCAAAAAACATGCGTTTAAGCGTTTCAAATGAAGAAAACCATCCCATCTAATACCACCACGCTTCTTAGTAGTGGTAGTGGTGGTAGTAGTAGAAGAAGTAGAAGTAGAAGTAGAAGTAGCAGTAGCAATAGAAGTAGAAGCAGAAGCAGAAGCAGAAGCAGAAGCAGAAGTAGAAGTTCAAGTAGAAGCAGCAGTAGTCGTCATAGTGTAGTGTCGCAGTGGTGTCGCAGTGGTGTCGTAGTGGTGTCGTGGTGGTGTCGTGGTGGTGTCGTAGTGGTCGTAGTGGTAGTAGTGGTGGTGGTGGTGGTGGTGGTGGCAGTGGTGGTGGTGGTGGTAGTGGCAATGGTAATAAATGGTAGTGGCAGTGGTCTCGTGCTCGTGGTACGAGTATTGGCTCTTGTTGACGAGTTCACGCTGGGCATTCCCAAGTCACGCATCGCGTGTCGGGAAAACTCATCAGCGGGAAAAACCTCTGGACAAGGATGAAAGGTAAACATGGCAAAATGGAACGGCATGCAAGTCTGGCCAATTTGGTCAGCTGGTGCCAAAGATCTGCCCAAGCAGCGCTTCCCCTTCTTTCCGCCCGTCCCAGAAATATATCATCCCAACCCCCTGCGCATCAGGGAAGGGCTGCTCAAGCGTCTTGGCATGTGCAGGCGGCGGATGAACGTAGACCAGCAAAACTGTAATGGCACCTACGATGGTACGAACACGTCCCACTCCTCACTCCGTGTTGCGGCTCTTCACAGTCACGGACTTCGAACGCGCACCATGCCAAGCGGCCTCCTCATCTCCCTCTTCACCCTCATTCATTACGTTGCAGCAATCAGTGAGGTCCAGCGAAAGGGCAACAACAATCGCCGACCTGCGCAATTTGTTGTGCCCGTTTTGTGCCCGTTCGACGTTAATGAAAGTATCGGTGACTGCGACCTGCCAACAATCCACCAGCTCGTCGTCCTTGGACTTCCCAAACTTCTTGGCTTCTCCCGGATACCGCTCTCGCAGCACCTTTACAAGTCCTATCAGGTTAGGATCCAGACCGAGCCCGCTTAAGGCGTTGATGAACGAAGCGAGCTGAATGAGCTCGGCAGGCGTCCACTCGTGCCAAGCTTTTGCAGAAACGAAGTTCACCTGTGATGTCTTCACTACCACGGAACCAATCGCAGCACAGGCAAAGAGGGCAATGTAGGCCATCTGGGAGAAGACCACATACCCCAGACCGAGAATTTCGATCCAATACAGGTCCTTGGAAGGGACCCTGTTCCCGTTCTCTTTGAATTCCTCATCTCCTATGTCACGCTGCTTTTGCAGGCGGAGATGAAAATCATCGATGCCGCCTTGGAGCTGGCCCCACAACACAGCCGGGTTGGCGTAGGGCAAACTCGACAAAGCCGAAAAGCGGGCAAGCCGTCGGACGAACTTGGCAAACATGACACAGTCCCCGGCATCCATCTCTTCCTTGCAGAAGATTTTGAGCAGGTAATAGAGACAGACCAGGGCCCCTAAGCCAGCAAGTGGAGCTTCCAGCCAGGCCAGGAGGTACTTCGACAGGTTCAAGTTTTCCTCCGGGTTCCTTTCCGGAAGGATAAATGCTGAATAAACCAACGTGCTTCCGTTGGCCACTGCTCGCAAGAGTATGAGGAAGCCGCCTATTTGCCGTGATTGGTCAGGCTGCTTGAAGAAGCGGTGTTCCCACTTCTTTTTGTTGTCGCCCAAGTCCCACGTCTCTCCATTAATAGTCAACCATTCAAGAGCAAGCACGGGGAACTGAAGTCCCATGGTGGAAGCCAAAATGCCCAAAACGATGAAGCCTGCACTGATGGCACCAACGTACTTTTCCACGCCGCCAGGCTTGACCACCATGGTGAGCGGCACGAGCCACAGCAACCTTTTTCTGACAAGTGTGCTCTTTGCTTTCCGTTTCTGAAAAAAACCCTTTAGATGCTCCCAAGCCCACAATTCAAGATGAACTTTTGCGTAGGGTCTTCTGGTTGTCTAAGTTGTTGCGATCTGCTTTGCACGCCCTACGTTTTTATTGAGGCATTGGGAAACACCCGATGACAAAGCGAGCAACACAGGAGCGATGGGGTGCGACGCTCGAACGTTCGAACACTTAAATGGCGATCGGCGGTTTAGCGCGTATTTGGTCGGTACCAGTGAAGTCCTTTCTTGGCACGAGCAAGGCAAACATCCCGTCCTCCACCCCCAAATTTAAATGTCCTTCCCAAACCCTCCCACCCCTCGACCAGCATCACTGCCCTGCTGTAAGTGTTTCAGATTGACGCGGCGCAAGTGCATGCCAAACCCTCGATTCAGCTTGAACAAGCGCACGCCCGGGTATGCGCCCAACCCCCCCACCCAAAGAACACCACGCCAACAGACTTCCCCAACCCGCCTCCTCCTCAAGGTGTGTTCCTCACAAACCCCCCCAACATGCCACGATGGTGCTCATGATGCGCCCGTACGCAACGGCATCATGAGCTTCAGCGGCTTGGCCACGGGAGGTCTAATTAATCTCTGTTCATAAAGCTGCTTTTAGCCAATATTCATTTCCTCCTCCCATAAAAAGTTAAGCGTTGCTCATTCCAGACTGGTCTGTCTTGACTCTAGGCCTTCCATCGTAGTGACGTCTTTCAGCATGCTATGGATCACGCTCCGGTACGTTGGCTGCGTGAGTATAGTGAGAAAAATCCGCCAATAGTTATTTGAACATGTCATGTGGCTTTGTGATTGCAGACTATAAAGCTTACACGTATTTGTTGTGCGCATAGTTGGTTTGCTTTAGACTGCTTGTCCGTCTCCCTTAACTCATACATCCTGATTCTTGGCATCCGGGGCCTGAGTGAAGAGTATGTTTTAAACTCGTTCAGGCACTTTTTCAGCGTGGCCCCGGAACCAAGAGCAGGTTTAAACCAAGAACAGGGTGTCTTAATTCTTGGTTTTCGGCTCTCGGCTAAGTTTTTGTGATTTGAATAAAAAAAAGATTGAACCCATGGCCCAGGGAACCAAAAACCAAGAACCAAGACTCCCTGGAATCTGCGTTCTTGGCTCTTGGCAGTGGTTCTCGGAGTTCTGGGTTGAAATCTAGTTAACAAAATGAAAAATATACCGGGGTCCTTTAGATGCATTGCCAGGTGTGCTGTTCTGTTGGCCCAGTGGCCCAGCGGCTTTTCAAAATGCATCTAAACAGGGATTGCTGTCATTAATCCTGCTAGCAGCTGCTAGCACATGTAACATGACCAGGCTTTCCAAGCCAGACAAAAGATGGCAAACACTTGAGTTGGCTTGGTTAAGACGTAATTAGACATCAACTAGGAGCCGGATTCCTGAAATTGTCCTCAAGATACATTCCTTGTTAAGTTTCATGCGGACCAAGGCTCAGACCGGAATTCCTGACAAACTGCCCGCCTAAAAACAAAACCTGTTTCATGCAGCAGGAATTGGCCGGAACAGGATTCTAGAACCGTCCTGAGTCCTGAGAGAGCAAACATCTTCGCATGACAACGGCTATGACTTTTTAATAGGGGCGAGCCACTGGAACAGGATTCTTGAGAACGCGATGTCTGTGGCGTAAAGCCCTTACTGCAGATGAGCAGGAGGGAGGCCCGGAACGTTTTATTCGGTCTTTATGCATTCTTCTTCTGCAGGGTTCTTGTCAAAATCCATTCCATAGGTAAGCTCAGGAACGTTCAGTGCGCAACCCAGAAGCCGGGCCATGCTCGGAGTGCAGTTCTAGAATGGTGCAAGCCCGGCACAGAGAGACCATCGACATCCGACAAGACTGTGAGCAGATATCCGCTATTCCTCGAAGAGCAATCCCACCCAATCAGAAATGCTGCTCATGGTCCTCCTCCTGCCTTTTGCCGACACGACTGAGGACCAATGTCATTGGGGGAGCATATATGTACACACTACATTTGTTCCTTCTTTACTTACTTTTTGTTAGACCCATTCAATTTGAAAGCCACGAAAATGCAGCGCTTTCTTACTTCCCTGCTCCCTGCCAAGAAGCATGAGCAGACCTGGTAGCATGGAGCAACCGGTGACCACCACCGCTCCAAGCGAGGCTGCGATCAACTGAGGAAGGGTCTGGCAGCAGCGCGATGCCTTGTCAAGACTTTCTTGGCAGCAGCTCACTGTCCTTGGCAAGCCCACCTCCCCCCCTCCTTCCCCCCCCCCCCTCCCCCTGCTACCGCCACTCAAGTTCAAGCCTTTTCGAGACCCTTTAAGGGTCAAATGGGAGGCAGCTGGAGGCAGTGGGGAGGCAGGAATGTTCATGGAGTTGATGGTTTAGGTCCGGGGGAATAGAGGAGGAAGCAGAAACCACACAGAACAATCCAAAGCCGAGCTTCTTATCATACCTGGACTTCCTTCGCGATGTATTTGCTGAATTTGGCCGTGGCGAGGCCTCCGAGTCGTGATCGGCTGAACCAGATGAACCGTCGCATCCCACCACCTGAAAGAGAAACACAAAAGTGCTAAGGGAATGCTTTGGGCGTCCTGATGTTGATGTAAGGCCACGTTCCAAAACCATTGGAGTACATGCAGGGCGTGCGCCTTGCAAAAAAAAACACCAAGAACCCGAGGCATGAACGCCCAAAAACAAGATTAAGCGTGCTAAAAACTGCTGAGGAAACTGGCGCCGAAACAAAATTCCACCGGTGAAGAAAGAACCCCCCAAACTGTCGAGGGAAACTGGCCACCTCGGGCTTGTCGGACTTCAACGGCTGCACAGCTTCGCTCGCCATGGCGTCACGAAACCCCCAGCTTAGGGTTGGAGAGTTTGAGGTTCATCGAACTTCGGGGGTCAGTGTATTGAGAGATACAAACAAAGACTTAAAGATTGGCACCCAAAGGGAGGACTGGGCATCAGGAAGGGGAGCCCCGGTGACCTAGCGCGTTTCCTTTTAAAACTTCGTGTATCTGGGCCTGTCTTGAGATCTTGAGGTGCGCTTTTTCCTACCTAGGCGGCCGTGTAGGCTGCAGAGGACTGGATCTGACAACCGTGATGCTTCGACAGGAGCCGGACTTGAGCTGTCTCTGGCTTAAACCCCTCGGCCTCTACTCGGGCTGTCTGCGAAGGCCGCAAAGGCGTCGAGGGTGCTGTTGGCTGCGGCATAGTTGCCCTGGCCTGGCGAGCGCCCCCATCTTGCCACAGCCTCTTGGGCCTCAGCTGGAAAGTCATGGCCTGGAGCGCCGAAGAGCGAGCTGGTGGAGGAGAAGAGCACCAGCTGCGCCGAGTCCTTGAACGAGCGCAGGAAGAGAAAGAAAGAGAGGAAGGAGAGAGAGAGAGAGAAGAATCTCGAAGAGCGAGGGTGCGGGCCCCGATGAGGTGGCGTAGCAGGTGCCGCAGGCCATGGACTTTGGGGCCATACGACCTCTGAAGCTTCCGTGGAGCTCTCAAGCACATTGCGTTGCACAGGCTTCCTTGAACACGTTGCTTCGTGTTGCTTCGCGCACTGCGCCCCGCACTTCCGGAACATCTCATGGTCCAGGGCAGGCAGCATCGCATCGGCCAATGCTCCGGCCAAGTGAAAGAGCGAAGCGACGGGGCCTCGGCGCGAGCAGCTTTGGCAGGTGGGCGCAAGAAGGGCGCAAGAAGGGCGGCGCGGCCTTTCAGGACTTTCGCGGAGCTCACGGAGGCTTCCTCGGAGACGTCGCAGCGAAGGACTTGCAGGTCCACGGTGCTCGCCTCTCCAGGGTGTGCGATAAAAGGAGAGCAAAACACACAAAGGCAACTTCTCCCCCCCACGGGAAAGTGCATCTCAAGGTCTTGCCTGCAGCCAGTCCCATCGTGCCTGCACCTTCCGGGAATCTGCTCTTTTAGTGTGCGATCTGAGAGTATGGGCTCTCTCCGCGACTCACTGAGCTTAGTCTGAGCTTGGTCTGAGCTCGCCGTCTGAGCTCCTCCCCCCGCCTCTTCCGGTGGGCGCCCCGCCCGCGACAAAAGGCAGAGGGACTTGGCCCCTTCCTCTGCAAGGAACTGAGCTGTCACCTCGAGAAACAAAGATTGGGCACTTGTCAGAATGTGCTGGAGAGAAGGGCAAGAAAAAACAAAAGCGAGAGGCCAAAAAAACAACCTTGAAGGTCAGCACAGAGAAAGGCGAAGGCCACTCAGAGGCCCTGGCCACACCCAAGGCGCCCGTGCCACCACTGAGGACGTGCGTGCCCTCAGCCGGCAGCTTGCTCGGCCTCAGCTTCTCGCGTCCGACCAGACTTGAAGCAAGCTTTTGCATTCGTTTTGGAAAAGCGGTCTCTCTTTCTCTCATCGAGAGACATACCGATGGAGCATATGGGTGCCGCGCTCCGAGAGCACCACTTTGCCGATGTTCTGTGCCCGCTGGAGGAATTGCAGAGCTCGGACACCTCTCTGAGATTCGAGATGCTTTGAGGCACTTTGCGTTTAGTCTCACTCTCCCGCTTCCCTGCGCTGCTCTCTTCTGCTGTTTCAGACGGACTCTTGGCCCCGCGCCTTCCTCCAGGCCTTCAAAGACGTGCATGTGGATGGGCTTGAGCCCGCCAGCATCCACGCGGTCTTTCAAGCGCGTCAAGTAGGAGTTGTACCTCTTCCGGGGACTTTCTGCTCCGACATGCTCTCCTGCCCTGTCCACCCTCTGCATTCGCATGTGCTCTTTGATTGTGGAGGTCTGCATCCGAGATTTGGCGTGCCGATCCGACGAAACGGACTCGAAACTCGATGTGTTGCTGTGTGATCATCTTGTGCCTCCCCACCCCTGGTGCTCAAGGTTGGCCAACATTGACAGCCACTCCCGATGCGAGATGAGTCTTGTCGTTGTTCGTCCTACCCTGTGTCGCTTATAATACCTCCTCTCATCCCGAACCTTCAGAGAGCTTTGGACACCTTTGGGATTTGGGAGTATCCTCAGCAGTGGAAGCAGCAGCTGAACAAAGAGAGCACAGCTATGCGAAGCCTCCCAAGCCTCCAAAGCAACAGACAAAGCCCCCCCCCCCCGGCCTCCAGGGCTCCTGAGCAGCGGAGCCCAAAGGGCGGCTCAAGCAGCCAATTGTTCGAGTGGGGAGCGGGAGCATGTGGGGTCGACTCTCATTTTATGAGAACTGCGTGAAGTCAACTTCTCTAGTCACAGAATGCAATCTCTCTCTCCCAAAACGGCTGAGCCTTCTCCATCATGGTGTCTGCGGCAATCTTCTCGTACATCACATCCGGGCGGCTCTCCCACATCTGCCTCGGCCCAACGCGGCCGGGACCCGCTTTCTGAGTTCATTACTTGGAGCCGCTCTCAGGGATGAGCTGGTGGGACCAGATGCCCCGCTTCCCGATCTCGATGAAGCGGCCGCCGCTCCGCAAGAGCGCCAGCGAGCGTGGGATGTAGTCATCGTGGCCTCAGCTCTGATGATATGAGGAGTGTGGTCAGTTGATTGTTTCCAGACTCCAAAGGCTCGAGAAGGGGGTACCGGAGTCCAACCAACAAGCCGAATCGCAAGCACCCGAAGAGACACAATTTGACAGATTGACAACAAAGCACTGAGGCTGTTGAGCACCACGTCGATCCCGTCAACTCCTTCCTGCGAAACGCCGTGCGTCAAAAACGCAGCTGGTTGAAATTCGGTTGAAAGCCATTTGAAGCCTGGCACCCGCCCCTCTCCTTGTCCAGGAAGCTCCTCATCTCCTCCTCGAAGCGCGCCCCGCTGCGGCTACTGGTGATGTGCTTCACCCCGATGCTGCGCAGATACTCGTGCTTCGCCTGTCCCAAGTCACGGCACACAGGCACAGAAAGAAGCAGGACTGTATTGGGTGGGCTGTCAACAAATTTGCCTACTCGTACCTCCGAACCGGCTGTCGCGTAGACCTCTGCCCCCACATGCTGCGCATACTGGATCGCGACCAAGCCCACGCCGCCGGCAGCGGCATGGATCAGGACCTCACGGCAAAGAAAAACCAAGCAAACAAAAAACTAGCCCGTCTCCCTGATACATATATGCATTTATGCGTATATGTATAAGTCTCGCCTCTCCTTCTTTTTTTGGTCACCTTTTGTTCCCTTCCTTTCTGTCTCCCCTTCTGGGCCCCCGGACCCGCTCGCCGCGCTTCAGCCGCGCCAGGTCCCCGAGGGCCTCCTCCACGGTCACGAAGATCACGGGCATGGCGCAGGCCTCTCTCCGAAGGGACAGGAAGAGGGAGACAGAGCTGACTCCCAACACTAAACCAAGAGAGAGGAGAAGAGGTCCAGAATTAGGGATCACCTCTTCGAAGGACCAGCTCGGGGGCTTGGGCGCCAGTAGCGGCCTCATGGAACAGCCCGGAGGCCAAAAAACAACAAGTGGAAAGATCCAGTTTCTTTGACCAGAGACAATATGGCAACATGATGAATGTTCGAGTTGAAGAGTAATGATCGCAACGATGAATAGGAACAACCGCATGAAAGGCAGGCCAAGCAAGACGAAGTAAAACGGCCCATCCTGACAGCCACTGCACTATCCCCTACACTTCCGAGCCCTGAAGAGTGCACTTCTGTGTTGGAAGCTCAGCGCGCCGCGCGGGCGCCAGGCAGTAGCTGCTCAAGCATCCCGGGGCCTCGCCGAAGACCTCCTCCGTGAGCCTCCAAAAAACACGAATCATGCCCGCACATATTCACGCACTCACGCACACACGCACGTTGCCTGAGGTGGCTCCCCGTGTGCTCGGCGAGGTCCAGCACGGTGCCTCCCACGTCTGCTCCTGGAGGCCCAGGATCTCCTGATCAAGACGAACTGAACCGAGCGCTGCGACCACTCCGAAATCCACAACCAATTCCATGAGGAGCGGGGGAAAAATGTGCGTGCTAGCAGAAAAAGGCTGGCCGGACACCCACACCCATCGCCCGGTTGGGGGTCTCCTGGATACAGGCCCATGACCTCACCAGGCTTTCCACTGTCTCTGTCTCACACCCTCGCATCAAAAAGAAGCCACTGCAAACGCAACACGGCCGCTGGCATTGAGGACATCCCGGAAGTTGAGACCTGGTTCAACGCACTGGCCCGACTGACGAGAGGAGAGAGCGGGGGAGCAGAAACGATGTGAGAGAGCGGAGAGAGCGCTTCCTGCTAGTAGCACCTCACCCAGGCCCTATCCGAACGGGGCGCAGGCCCACGGCCCGGACGCGGAGCAGCGCGGCGCCCAGGTGCAGGGGCGGCTTCGTGCTGAGAGGCACGGGGCGCAGCCCCGTCCTGGAAGAGCGGGCTGAAATGTTTTTGTGCATGCCGTGTATGCGACAGCTTTGGACAACGCTGGGGCCCCGGGCAGGGCTCCGCGCGCCGGCATGTTCAGGCGCAGTGGGGTCCGGGCATGGAGCTCGCTCCGCGCCAGTCGACGCCCCAAGGCCTCTGGTTCGAAAGTCGAAGGGCCGTATATGGGTGCTTCTTTGGTCCACGGCACGAAACCCCTTGGCCCGCCCCTTCCCGGTCTCAGACTCGGCCTCTCCAGCCCGCCAAGACAGCTCCTCCCGGCATGTGCAGAGCATAAAAACACACGGGGAACTCTTGTGCCCCGTCACTGCCCCGGTCCTCTTCACGGGAGGCATCTTTGGACCTCGGGAGGAAGAGGAGGAGGAGCGGGTTTTGGGGGGGAATGGAGGCACGGGTCGCATGGAGAAAAACACGTGAGCTGAGCTTGTTTTCGCATCAACATATGCTCTCTGAAGTCAACCGCTAGGGCCGCTGGCAGTTGAGCGAGGGCCACGTCGATGGCTTCCAGAGGCTCGGAATCCAAATCCAGATCCAAGCAAGCCACGCGCAATCTCTCCGGCTCCTGCGCCATGTGCGTGTTCCGTTGTTGTGTCTTTGTGGCCTACCCGCGCGGTGCCTTGCAATGATGTCGGTTTGCCCCTTCTCCCGCTCCTCCAGCCGCGCGCTGCGGGCAAAGCCCCAGAGGCCTGCGTGGACCGGCTCCTGGTCCTGCGCACCGACGCACCGCCCAAGTTCAACGCTCTGCAGAGAGAGAGAGAGAGAGAGAGAGAGAGAGAGAGAGAGGGAGAGAGAGAGAGAGCTCTTCTGCGAGAGACTACACATATGATATGGGTACCTCGCCCGAGAGCTGCTGCGTTCTGCGCGTGACGATGACCAGGGGCAAGCCGGCCGACAGCGCGGCGCCTGGAAGCAAATGACATATAGCCGGGGAGAAAGCAGGGCGAAAGGAAGGATCAGCAAGAAAACGCCGAGAGCTGGGGAGCCAAGGCTTCCGCGAAGCACGTGGAGCGCCAAAGCCAGCACATCGACGTCGTCGGTGCCATGCTCCACGCAGGTCGTGACGGGACCTTGGTGGAGGCCCACGAAGACGAGGGCCTCCGCGTCGCGGATTGTCTCCTGCAAGGCCTGGGCTCACAAAACACACAAAACACACGAAACACACAGAACATGGCAAATGCAACGCACCCCCCCCCTCCCCACCACCTCCCATCTCTTCAGGTGCCCAGCCGTCTCGTTCTGGAAGTTGAGGTCTTCGTGCGCGACGCACCGGAAAGCTTCCAAGGCCGACATCCTGCCGAGCGAGAAGTGCTGAGGGGAAAAGGCTTCTCTGCCTTTGCCCGCTAATTTGAGCTCCACCATTCTGCTCCTGATGGCATCGCGCCGCCCCAAGACCAGCCATTTTCGGGAGGCCTCCCCGGGCAGAGCAGAGCATGCCGCAGAGCAGAGCATGGAGAAGGCACAAACAAAATGAAAAAAAAATGAAAATGAATCCCATAAATCCAATTCGCCTCGGCTTCCTGCCGAGAAGCGTCTGGAACAAGCAGACCCGGATCGGGCCTCCTTCCCCCTAACCCAACCCTTCCCCCCAAATTTTCTGATGCCACCCCCCCCCCCCGCCTTGTGGGACCCCCCCAATCGAGGAGCTGCAAAACCGATTGCCGTGGAGGCCTCAAAAAACTCCCCGCAACCACCACCCCCCCCCCCACCCCCCCCCCACCCCCCCCCCCACCCCCCCCCCCCCCACCCCCCCCCCCACCCCACCCCCCCCACCCCCCCCCCCCCAACCCCCCCACCCCCCCCCACCCCAACCCCCCCCCCCACCCGCTCTGCCCTTCCTCCCTCTTTCGTCCTGGGGCCGGCCCGGCTGCCGAGGCGGCGCGCGCAAGCGTTTACAATCCCATGAGTGTCACTCTTGTTGAGCACCTGCCTCCGGTGTTTGAGGCGCCGTTTGCTCTGGCAGGGCCCGCCAGAGAGTGCTGTACAGCGCCTGCTGCTCGGCTCCAAGACGACCCGAGGCCTGCAGCACCTGCCCCAAAAAAAGGAGTGTAAAGCGAAGCGCTGCGAAGCGCTGTTGACGCTGACAACCCTGTCTGAGACTTCCTTTCTTCGAGGCAATGCAAAGGAAAGCGAGAGGCTGAACGGGCTCCCACAGTCTTACTGTCTTATTGGCAGGCCTTACAACAAGACAGGGCGCTGAAAACACACTATTGGTTCTTAATTCCTGTTTTGGGCGCCTTCTGCAAGTGCTCATCCCGGACTTCCTGCAGATGCACAGAGTCGAAGTACAGCACAGTCTCCCCTGCGTCGTTGAGAAGCCAGCACCTGGCAAAGACCCCGAATTTCGCCTCTCTCTCCAAAATCACTCTCCCCGCCAATCCTTACTTTCCTGCAACAGCATCCCCGTTGTCTCCATTCATGTGGGATGGGTGTGCTGGGTGTCCCGCAGCTTATGTCACGCCCTGGGCCCTGAAGGGCCACATGTTTCGCTCAGCGTAAGCAACTAGCACCCCATCTGCGTTCTGAAGCACCCGAACCGGACGTCTCGGTCAGCGTATAAGCAGCCTGCACCCCACGTGCGCCCCGGGGCTCTTAAGGTTACTCGCCAACCAAACGCCTCTTCGCCGGTCCATTTTCGTTCTTTTCTTTACATCTCCCCTTCCTCTCCTCCTCTTTTCCCCCTCCTCCTCTCCTGCCCCAAAGCGCCTGAAGGCCGTGGAGTGCTCCGTCCAGTCCAGGAGCTGGAAGTGCGACCACACGCCGATCGAGTAGGCGCGGCCCGTGGGCTGCAGCCTCCAAACAGCACACAGCGTGTCCGAGATTCCGGTGCACACACCTAGATACCGAAATATGCCCTCTAGTATAAGAATCCATGTGTCTATCTACAACCTGTGACTTCGCCTCTGGATCACAACTCTCACATCCCCCATCTTGCACGCCACCTTGACCCGCCACGGCCCCAAACGCTCAAAAGACGACGTGCCGACTGGAAGGGGGGGGGGGGGGGGGGGGGGGGGAAAGGGGAAAAAATTGGTAAAAGGCTGGTTCTGAGGTGTTGCTGGGCTGGGGCTGGGGTGTTGGTTCTGAGACCTTGCCCTACCCTATATAGCCACCTCATCCGTTCTCTTACATGTCCCCCTGCTTCGTTTTCATCATCATCGTCGCCTTATCCGTTATCATTGTTTTGTCCCGCTCTTTCATTCCTTCCTTCCTCCCATCATCAACATCGTCACCTCATCCGTTTCTCATCCCAATAAAAATTTAAGTATCTATAAATTCATTTTTTTCGTTTCTCAACATCGTCCCCTAATCCGTTTTCATCCTTCGTCATATCGCCTTACCCGTTTTCTGGGACGTATCCCCCTCAAAGACTTTACCAAAGATTTATAATAAATTAATATTATAAATATTTGTTTAGACTTTATCATTGTTAAAATAAAAAAAAATTGGTTACGACACTTTGCCTTATAGGCTTAAGGGTGGGAGCGAAGCGGGGAGGGCTTACCAAATTTCCTTATAAGTATTTTATAACAATCATACAAGTTTCATAATATGATGGTTATTTATCCATCTTCTAATTCACTTATAATGAAATTAGCCAATTCTTTTTTATTCTTAATATGCTTTTTTGATTTATAATGTTGTGTTAATTTTGCCTTTGATATTAGACATCTACAATACTCACATTCAATCTTTTCCTTTTTCTTTTCAAGTATTTCTTGTCGGTTTTTATCATAATAATCCTTTGCCTCCTGCTTTAATTTGTCCCTGTTAGTTTCCCTATATTGTGCCTTTTTTCCCAGACAGACATTACAAAGTTGCTTATTTGGTTGGTAGTTGTCTATTGCTTTCTATTTCCTACAACCTGAACATAATTTATAGTTTTCATCTTCAAAGTTCTCCATATAGTAGTGTGGGACTATTTCTTTATATGGTTTCAGGGACTTTATCAATATGCATAAAAACGCATAGGTGTATGCATAAAAATGCATAGGTGTATGCATAAAAACGCATAGGGGTATGCATAAAAACGCATACGGGTATGCATAAAAACGCATAGGGGTATGCATAAAAACGCATAGGTGTATGCGTAAAAACGCATAGGTGTATGCGTAAAAACGCATAGGTGTATGCGTAAAAACGCATAGGTGTATGCATAAAAACGCATAGAGCATAGGGGTATGCATAAAAACGCATAGGGGTATGCGTAAAAACGCATAGAGGTATGCATAAAAACGCATAGAGGTTCAGGCGTTAAGGGTTGTTGTGGTTTAGTCCTCTCGGTTTAGGACTATGTTTTGAAAAAGGGGCATTATGCTTTCTTTTGTTTTCGTTTTCTTAAGAAATATACAATTCCCCTTTTTGGAGGTTTTTAGGGTTCTAGTATATTCTATTTACTGGCTGTCGCCACAACCGCCGACCACCAACCCACCCAAGCCCAGCAGCCCAGCCCCAGAACCAGCGCAACACCCAGCAACACCCGGCAACACCAAAAGCACTTAAAGGGAAGCCACCTTATACCATAATGGCAGACCAGGACGCCCTAAAAACCGCAATGCGATACACATTAAGTAGCCGATTAGGTGAAATAAAAAAGACAAAAAAAGGAAAAGAGTTAAAACAGATTGTAATTGATGGGACACAATATAAGTATGATAAAGAAAAGCCCTTCACAGCGAAACTGAAAAAACAATTAAACAAAATTAGTAAAGCACCAGCTTTTCAACGGTTTGAGATTTTAGATAAGGCTAGTAAAGGAGTTAGAGTTAGAAAGAATTTAAAACGATATGCTATATCAACATTTGGAAAAAGAACTGATAATTTTAGTGCTTTAAAACGATATGCCAACACCTATTCTATAATTGATATTGAGAAAGAAGGCTACAAAGGTTTAGGACATATATATTCTCAAAAATCACGATTAAGAGAGTTTTTGAACAAACACAAGAGCATGAAATTACTGATTGATGTTGAATTTGTTTTAAGGCAGGTTATAGAAGAAGATGAGACAACGGAAGAATATCCAACAACAATTAGGAGTAGAAGATATAACATACTAAATGAAGAGGACTTAAACAAAGCAGTTAATAATGCTGGAAATGATATTCAAATTATTCTAGAAAATAAACAACTACAAAAGTCAGGTTTAAGCATAAAGAAAGTCAATAAAATCACTATTCATTATGACAAGTATGACCCAACAAGAGCAGGACAATACATTGAATTACCGCGCTGGGTGGCATTAAAAAAGGCATGTATTAATATAAAAAACTATGATAATCTATGTTTTAAATATTGTGTATGGTGTAAGTTTCATGAAATATATAAAAAAGACCATCCTGAACGATTATATCATTATAACAAGTATTTAGAAAATGATAATTTCATAAAATGGGACGGTGTAGAGTTCCCAGCGTGTAATGAAGATATAGATAAGTTTGAAGAGGTGAATGGTGAAACTATATCAGTTAATGTTTATACAATTGATACAGATGTAAATGTTTATACAATTGATACAGATGTAGATAAAATAAGAGTTGATAAAGTAACGAAAATAACAAACCCAACGTGTCATATCAATTTATTAAGACTTGATGAAGATAATAAAAACCATTATGTTTTAATTAAAGACTACTCAAGACTTTTAGGAAGTCAAACAAACAAGACCAATAGACAGCTTTTTTATTGTAAGTACTGTCAAAAAGGTTTTAGTAAAGAGAACTTATTACAAGCTCATTTTTTAAAAGGTTGTATGGCTAATGAGGTTCAAGCGATAGAGATGCCAGAAGAGAAAGAAAAAATGAGCTTCCAAAAGCACTACAAGAAATTAAAATGTCCTTATGTTATTTACGGAGATTTTGAATGTTTAACAACCTTAACGAATGAAGGAATAAAGGGGACATATCAAAATCATATTCCCTCAGGTTTTATGTTGAACGTTGTTAATTCAATAACAGGAGAAGCTAAACCATATTTATATAGAGGTGAAGATTGTATGGACGTATTTTGTAAAACGATGAACGAGATAAGAGAAGAAATATTTGAGGTAATGGATAATCCAAAAGACATGGAGAAATTAACAGATGAAGAGGAAGAGCAACACAGAAAAGCAAAGAAATGCTTTATTTGCAACGGTTGTTTTCAACCAAATGTAAAAGCTAAAGCAAAGGTGCGAGACCATTGCCATTTTACAGGAAAATACAGAGGACCAGCACATCATAAATGTAATTTAGACTATTGTTTCAAATACTTTAAAATACCTATATTTTTTCATAATCTTAAAAACTATGATGCTCATTTAGTTATATCTCATCTTGATAAATTAAACACTAAAAAAGACGAGGTAAGCGTAATAGCACAAAACAGCGAGAAGTTTATAACCTTTTGTCTTAAACAGTTAGAGTTTAAAGACAGCTTTAGTTTTTTATCTTCATCATTAGATAAACTGGTTAAATTAACTAAATATGAAAATAATGAGAAGCGTGATAATTGGACACAGCATTTTAAATACGGTAAAATAAGTGAGTATGTTAAAGATGATTATGATTTAGATTTATTAACCGATAAGGGTGTATATCCGTATGACTATATGAATGAGTTTAAGAAATTCAATGAAACAGAACTACCAGATAAAAAAGAGTTTTACAGTAGATTAGGTGAAGAACACATAGACGATAAAGACTATGAAAGAGCAAAGCATATATGGGAACACTTTAACATAAAAAACCTCGGTGAGTATCATGACCTTTATTTGAAGACTGATGTGCTATTATTAACAGATGTTTTTGAAAATTTTAGAAATCAATGTTTAATAGATTATGAGCTAGACCCAGCACATTATTATACATTACCTAATTTCGCTTGGGACGCTATGTTATTAAAAACTGGTATATGTTTGGACTTAATATATAACGAAGACCTTTATAAAACGATAGAGAGAGGATTGCGCGGAGGAATGTGCCAGTGTAGCCACAGAATGGCAGAAGCAAATAATAAATATATGGGAGAAGGCTATGATGAAAATAAACCATCTTCATATATAAACTATCTTGATGCTAATAATCTTTATGGCTTAGCGATGTGTCAAAAACTACCATATAAAGATATTAAATTTGTTGAAGGGAACTTTACAGAAGACCATATACGAACATGGAGCGACTTAGGAACTGGATACATTTTAGACGTTGATTTAGAATATCCAAAAGAGTTACACGACAAGCATGTTGATTATCCACTAGCTCCTGAAATTATGAGTGTAACGGCTGATATGTTAAGTGATACTCAAAAAGATATTTACAAAGCCTATCATTTTAATCAGTCGCCTAAAGACGAAAAAACAAAGAAACTCATATTAAATGTCAATCACAAAGAGAATTATGTATTACATATTAAAATATTACAGTATTATCTTAAGCAGGGTCTTAAGATAAAGAAGATTAATAGAGTAGTCCAGTTTAAACAAAAAGAATGGTTAAAACCGTGGATTGATTTTAACACTGAAAAAAGAAAGAAGGCGAACAGCGACTTTGAAAAGGATATGTATAAATTAATGAACAACGCGGTGTATGGTAAAACGATGGCAAATGTAAGAGAACATTAATGAAAATCTGGTAGGAGTGGAGAAGTTAAAAGAAACAGTTAAACTAAATAAGCCTATATATGTAGGAATGAGCATTTTAGATTTATCCAAGTTACATATGTACAGTTTTTATTATGATGTGTTAAAGAAGAAGTACAATGATGATGTAAGACTGATATATACTGATACTGATAGTTTTGTTATACACACTAAA